GGGTAACTTTGAAGGCATCATCCGCAGGCACTGTGTCTGCAGGTCTGAGTGATTGCTTTTGTCTTTTGTGCTCGCCAGCTTATTGCTTCCAATATAATATTGGAATATTGCATCTTGCGTGGCACTTCATAAAGAGTCTGGATATTTTTCAGCATATGACATGCAGAATTTTTTTTATGTATGGTCATGAATTAAGAATTTGTTTCCATGGCTAAATTCGTGACCATGTTTTATTAATTTGTTCCCTCGTTTTAGGTCAATTGTGGCTTTGAACAAATTCGTCCCCTTGTTTGGTCACGATTGAACTAAAAAATTAGGAAACTAAGTAGTACAACGTGGCCATGATTTACCTAAAACAAATTAATAAGTTGTGGGAACAAATTCTTAATTCATGGCCATGATATCTTATTGTTTTTTTTTTCTCCCTGAATGTCCTGTGCAGGGCTCCATATCGTCGCAAAAAAGCTACTAACGCAACAGGAAATGGAAAAAAAACACACTGTATTTTTTTTTCAATTATTAAACACCGCGTTGTCAAAGTTGATATTGGGGCTTTATATATGGTCAGATCCTTGATTGTGCAATTATATTACTAACATTTTACCAAAATCAACTTAAAATGGAGTTACGACATTTCTGAGGAATTCGGACATAGGCTACGTTTGGTCCATCATTAGAAAGACCGCATCTGAGGCAGTAAGTGCATTGCATTAGGTTTTCATCAACTTACATGTTATAAAGTTTACTGTAGCTCATCTTTTTTTCTGTCATTCGGCCAAAATCTTGTGTCGAAGACGAAGCTGGACGATGACATCACTGACACTGCTTGCGGCACTTCATTCATGATAGAGGCGGGTGGAGTTATGAGTTTTGTTGACTGGCAGTTTGAGGATCCAATGGAGTCACGAGGTTTAATCACAAGCTGTTTTTAATCATTTTCATCGGTTAAATATGTGCAAAACCCACGGGCAGATTTAAAGGGTGACCAACAGTAAAGATCTATGAAAGAAAAAGAAAAATGAGATAGGCCTACAAGATTTCCGTTGAGGGACGATTTTGTCTGTTAGAGCATTGCATTTATTTTTTCAATTGGCCCAGCAAACCGGTTACCTTGAGAACGTTGTGCACTGAACCAATATAAACTATTACAAGTTAAAAGTTCACACAAAAATTTAAATTCTGTCATCATTTGCTCAGTCATGTCGTTCTAAACCTTTGGTAAAATATCAGTCTTCTTTTGTGTTTACCAGTTATAAACCTGTATGCCATTCTCTTTTTCCATCACATAAAAAGATAACATCATTTATTTAATGACTAGTGATATCTTCTGATAATAAAAATACTATACAAACATGTTTCCGTAGCCCAATGATATACCAGAAGCCTGCTGGACATTTTGTGGAGTCTAAGTGAGCACCTCAATTTAGTCTAATACAGGTTAAGCGACCTCATGTCGTTTAAGGAATTCAAACTTGTGTACAGTAGTGCATTCACACAGAGCCTTTGTGACAGGTCTCAAATGATCTATGGCTCTCCTCCAGAGTAAAAACATACTTGAGGCCTTTCCTCCCTTTTCTTTTCTCACCCTGCATGACAGATGTGTCTCCCTTCCCCCACTAACTCCCCCTCCAGCACCCTTATTTTTCCTCACTGGTCCTTTATTTCATCCTACACGCTTTGGTGGGGAGGAAATGTGCCTGCCACATGATGATATCTTGATTTTCCCCAAAAGTTTCCCATTTCCTGTGAGTTCTGACTCACAGACATTAACAAAAAGGCACACAATCAACCACGTCTCCAAAAGTTATTCAATATGGCATAAGGCATTGTGGTCTCTGAGTAATTGTTCCTGATTTTTAACCAGCTGTAAAAGTTTGGGGCAACTAAAAAAAAGGTCTTTTGTCATTTCTAGTCCAGATGTGTGCTTTCTTCCGGATATACGACTTCAGCTGTTCTCTCTGATTTAATGAAGCATTGTGTTGCGGATGATGTATTTCAGTCATTGTTGGTTTTAAAGAGTGTGGAATTAAAACTCTCATTTCAAACTGCTTTAATTTCCTGCCAGGTTCTTCAGAATAAAATCAAGAAACATTGCTACAAATTATTGCTTGATTGATATGGGTTATTAAGTGATAGTTCCCCCGAAAGTGACAATTCTGCCATCATTTACTCACCCTCATGTTGTTCCAAAACCATAAGACTTTCATTCAACTTCGAAAGCCTAACTTAAATCCGTTCATCGTATCATGTATCTTCTTCAAAAGACTGGTCAATTCATATGGATTTCTTTTATGAGCTCTTTATGAACTTTTTGAAGTGCCACATTTTTAAACGAATGGACTTTCAATGGAGGGACAGAATTCTCTCAGGTTTCATTAACAATATGAAACAGACAACAACATTAACAACAAATAATACAATTAAATGATGGCAAATGATATGTATACTGAACTTGTTTTACGCAATATTTGAAATCGGAAAACATTTTGAAAATGACACATGGGGAAACTAACAAACGGAGCTGCATCAGATGATGCTGATTCTCTCAAATTGAACCAATATAGGCTTATTAAACAGCTTGGCTGATATATAGGCCTATCAGTACAACAAACCTTGTCTAAGAGACCTCCAGACCATGTCAGCATTTCATAATCCTGAACATAAGAAATTGAGGTCTGCATTTCAATGATTGTGGAGATGAGGAAAAGTATATTTGCACAACAACATCATAAATGTGTACATTCCAGGATGCAGGTTTTTATAAAATGACAGAAGTGTTTCTTTTGGCCGTCTGTGACAGGCAGCTGGCTTGACTTGTAGATTTACCACCCCATTGTTCTGTCCCTCCATAACAAAAACACACTGTTTCCTGTTCTGTTCTAACCATGCTTAGTATTCAGGGTGGAATATTGTTTGTAACGTACGAGGGGAGAGGAAGGGCCACAGATAATGTGCTGTGGAAGGTTAGAGGTCCTTATCTGAGTCTGTAAGAAAAAGCGCAAACGCAGTGTGAGAACATTATGTGTGTAGCCGGGATTGTGTGAGGCGGTAAAGTGTGTCTGAGGCCATGAGGTGTGAGTGCTTCTTTTGAAATGCATCACACTACACTCCCCACCGTGGGAGAGCTCTGAGTGTCCTGTGACCCAATGCGTCATTTGGAAATCAAGCCAAGCCAAGTATGTGCTTCCCATGTAGTCATCAGGGACAATGATCGGACAGTCTTGTTTCTGATTTAGGTAACACTTTAGTTTAGGGTCCGATTCTCACTATTAACTAGTTGCTTAGCATGCATATCACTAGGATATTGGTTGTTTATTAGTACTTATAAAGCACAACATCCCTTAATCCACCTAAAATCTGAACTTAACAACTACCTTACTAACTATTAATAAGCAGTTTGTTGAGGCATAAGTCATAGTTAATTGTGAGAATTGCACCCCTATCTAAAGTGTGACCCTGAATTGTTTTTTATGCTTCAAAATTGGTTGAATATCAGCAAATCTGGTATTGGTAAGTATTGATGATGCATATGAGGGCACATCTCAATAAATGTCACAAATTATACAAATCACATTTCACCCCGAAATTAAAAGAAAAAAACCCAACATGTTGCATAAAATAATGGGTATAATATAAGTGAAATGATCTATCTATCTATCTATCTATCTATCTATCTATCTATCTATCTATCTATCTATCTATCTATCTATCTTAATATTTAAACAATTTTCAAACTAAAATCCTCTAAGCTAATGATGAATGATTTACTAACAGGGATGCTTTCAGATATTGAGTCAAAGTTTGACAAGAGGCCACTTATTTTATTTGAACTTTTCATTCATTCAAACGGAGAGAGAGAGAGAGAGAGAGAGAGAGAGAGAGAGAGAGAGAGAGAGAGAGAGAGAGAGAGAGAGAGAGAGAGAGAGAGAGAGAGAGAGAGAGAGAGAGAGAGAGAGAGAGAGAGAGAGAGAGAGAGAGAGAGAGAGAGAGAGAGAGCAGCTCAAGTGACTATGGCAAATCATTTCATTCAACCTTATCAGCCATCTGGAATGTGAAATTTCCTCAATACACTATTGGTTAGAACCAACAAACAAGTTTAACAAATGCAAGATTTAAAAAAAAAAAAAAAAATCCATTATATCCAACATGTTGCTTCACGTTTGCAGAAGTAAAACCCTGAAATTTTAACAAAATTGACTGAACATTCAATGATGAAACGTAACGGACGAGCAATATTCAGATTCATAGAAAACATAACTTAGAGCGCATAATTTCAATGCTTGGCTATTGTATTTACATTACCAAGTCAACAAAGGATCTTTCTGTATGTTGATCTTTAGTTTTGTTTGTTTGCTGTTTGAATAAATGTTTGAAAAGTTATAAGCAAATGAGGATAAAAGAACCACATGCGTTTTGGACCACACCGGCTTGCACATCAACAGCATAAGGGCTACAAATGTCTGAACTGATATGTAATATGCATCCATCAGGCCAGCTTTGGGATGCAGGCAGCCAAAATGACATCGGATGGACTCAAATGCAGTACAGGAATCAAGGCCTCTTCTCGTGCATTAAAGTTCGATATTCGACATCTGGGAGTTGAGAAACATATAAACAATCAAAAACCAATAAATTAAAAAAAATCCTGTATTCTCCTAACAAAACCAGTTTTTTTGTTAGAGTATTCTCAGATTCTTCACATGAGATGTTTATTCAGCATGATTTTGCAGCACTTCTTCACTGCTTGTTCATTTGTTCGATGCTTTGAAAGTCATCCAGTTTTCCGTGTCAAGGTATAAACAGAGAGCAAATTCCCATGTGCACCAGCATCTAATCCAGAAACCAGGCCTCATGACCAACAAAGAATGAGTTCTTCTGGACTAGACAACACTTCGGCCCTTGTAGCATCCAGCCGACAGGGCTAAATCAACTGCAACAAGCAACTGATCTGAGCGGCATCAAAAGACTGATGTCCATCCTTAAAAACAACACCATTTCAGTGTCCGTAGCTTGTCCATGCTCTGTCAAACTTTGTAGTAGATGTTTGCAGGATTTTGTGGTGGCATTTCTTGGACGATGTAGACAGGGTGTCCGTAGTCACCACTGACCTTCTCGTAGTGCGGACAGTACATGCTTCCTGAGGTCCGCAATGGAAAGATGATGTCACTCGGCTCAGAGCCGTTATTGTTGCTCCCGCCACTTGCGGCGCTTCCACGTTTGGGCAGCGTGTTTAACGGCAACTGGGCAGAGCACTGCGCGGAGTGTTTCTGATGACGCCGATGAAGGAGTGCTACAAGAGCGATGATGATGATGATGAAGATGACGGCACCGGATGCAACACCAGCAAACAGGGCTACTTCCGATCCAGCAGATCCCACAGACTCTCCGCTCTTCCCTCCGGACTCACCATTCTGCATAGAGTCTGGGGAACGAGAAAGAGTTAATGATCAGATGTAGTTTATTCTTTGTTGGGTAGAAACATAATGATAGTCAAAGTGAAGTGGAAATCATTTAACATCATACGAACAAGTTAGGATGTGCAAGTCCACACTAAACTGGCAGCACTTGATTTATTTTCTTTTTTTACGCAAATCTGCATCTGTGATACAGATCCAAAAAGTGTAAGAATTTTACATCCAAATGGTTTTACTTAGTCTTTTGTCATTTTTTTAATATCTGTCATCCATTGTCATATTAAGAAAAAGGGCAAAAACTGGTCAGACACCCTTTAAAATTACTCTTTGTAGTTTAAAATGAGGAAAAGTTACCATCTAGCATATTGTACATCTGGGTCATATTTCAAATCAAAATCAAAAGAAAGATATCATTTTAGGACTAATTTTATTAAGACTTTTTGCATTGTGTCATTAATCCTCATTATTTCTATCTAATTATATTATATATAATATTTAATTATTCAAATTCGTTATATTATTCCCATTATTTAGGCAAAATATTGTTTTCGCTTTTGATTTTGGGGTTAAAGTTGAATTGCATCATTTATGATTTAATGAGATTTACCCTCATATACATGAATACCTACCAATTTTGCTGACGACGTCATTCTCTTTGCTGAAGGTGTTTTGGTCCTTATTGTCAGGGTATTTCGGAGGATGTCTTGTGGGATGATGTTTTGCTGAGATTGAATCTGTTGGACCTAAAAACAAAATAGAAAATTAAATATTTACAGCAACAAAAATTACTAGTGGAGCTAGAGCAGTGCGAAATGTTCATCGAACTGAAAAACTGATCTGAACATAATTTCGGACCACCCTTACATCTTTTTGGCTTCTAGGCATTATGCCCCAGGTTTTGAGAGAGAGAATTTAATGAATTGGCGTAAAGCTGCAAGTATCTCCCCACAAGCCCAAAGAAGGGACAGCTGGCATAGCCATAGGAAACAAGCTCACATGACATTTCAATTACACGCTGAGGCACACTAGCATGGACACCCACTAGAAGACCAGTGACATGAAAGACTGTTATGGAAGCAGTGATCTTCATCATTGCAGGTATGGAGAGAAAGGTTGTGGGTGGTACTCACTCTGTCCAACTCTCAGAACCAGCTTCATGGCTTTGGTCTTACAAACACCGCCATCATGGTTGTCCAAACCTTCAAACGTGCTGTTGGATGTGGCTGAGAGAGGGAAGAAGGAGAAATGAATTAGCCATTGATATCATTTTGTTAATCACACACACTAAAATATCACAAAATCTGTCAAGAACACGTCTGGATCATATTTTTCCTAATGAAAATTTGAATTGTGACATTATTTTCAATACAATTAAACACATTCAAATGTCATTATAATGCATCAACAATAATAATATGGTATCAAATACATCATTGCACCAGTATGTGGCGACAAGTGAGTGTTAAAAATGTATTTGTCATTGAATCATTCATTCAAGAGAATTGTTCCAAAACGCTGATTCATCCAGTAATGAAGCAAGTGAAGTCTTTAATATGAGCGAGTCATTGAATCATTCATTTAAACTGGTTAAAAAACAAATAAAATCAATTTAATTAAACATTTTTACATAGACTGCAGTAAATAACATTTTGTCAGAACCTATAGTAAATTATGCTATTTGTTTAGTTGTCTATTCAGAATCCAGGGAGAATAGTGATCTCTATTTGAAACAAAAAAAATAGTTTATATTTTTATTATATATATGATGTAATACATATTACATTTTTATTATTGCTAATTATAATATGAATATACTAACAATGAGATTATAATGAGAATTACAAAATATCAGCATGGATTAGAGTAATGACAATATGGGGAGGACATTTTTTCTTATGAAAAGTAAAAGCAATGTTGAAATAGGAACATTTCTAATGCAATAGAAATTCTAGGATTTTTTTTTTTTATGAGAGTCACCAATCCAACATTTAGTAGCTTACATTTCTGATGCTGAATATTTATAGCCACCATCCATCTTAAAAACGTTTGCATGCCACCAAATTATTCTTTCCTCTCGAGGCTCATTTCTCTTACAGTCTTGTGGATGAATTTGGCCATATAAGGTTTAGTAGCACTAAGTGAGCTAGTTTATGACCGGGTCAACTTTCCACAAGTGTACTCACAGGTGCTTTAAAATCTTTAAAGTGTTCCTTGCGGACATATGAGTCACATGTTCATCCGTCACTGTGTATGTGTATGCAGAAGGTGAAGGTTCAACTTGCTCGCACAAAGAGAAAATCACAGTTTTGCAGCACGGCAAAGCTTCTTAAAAGCTTGGGTTTGTTTGCTAGTAAATCCTTACGAAAAAGCATTAAGAGGGGCGCGCACGCACTCACGTGCATGCTAATTTAGAGAACCCTCATACTGTGAGTAATAAACCCAGTGTAATCACACAGGTTTGAACTTTACAGAAACTAAGCAAAGCCTTTTCACATCATTATCACAGAATATCAAGGATTTGCTTTGACCGTCAATCCACGGCTAGTGGAGTGGCTTGGTGGAACGATTTAAACACCATTGTGCCTGGGCACCCATGCTGTGTCCTCTGATAGCAGAGCTAAAGAATTCCATTGGGCCGTAATCTCTCTTTCCCTGCGAGGATTAAGACCAATCCCACATGAACAAATGGACTTCCCCTCCAAACTGCTTAGGGCACAGAAAGAACTGAGTGACCAGCAAGTGAAAGGGCAAGAGAGTGGGGGGGGTGAGCAGAGAAAGCAAACGAGAGAGAGAGCTAAGAGGGAAAAACAGAGGGGGAGAGAGAGAGAGAGAGCTTTTACCCAACATGTCCCAGTTCCCTGCAACCATTCCCACATTCATCTGCAGCGGCCACTCTAGATGTGACCCGACTCTTCGGCTTGAATGAAGCCCGCTCATTTCCTAACCACAACAAGCACATTCAGTGCCTCGGGCCAGCGCAGCTCAGCCAGTCACGATGCCAGCGACCGAGCAACAAAGTGGAGGTGGGAAATTAAAGTTGCGCGCACACAACCAAAAAAAAGTGTATCCAAGCAGATGTTATGGTTTCAGTAGGTTTTTTTTTAGCTTTTAGTAGACATTAAGAAGTCTAACTATCCTAGAGATCATATTTTAACCACATACACACAGTGAAACATATCCTGTCTGACTGTATGTCTAGAAAAAATGCTAATTATTTGTTGTAAGTTGCAGCAGGACATAATGACGTATTGCACTGGTTGCGCAGATATTCAATGGTTGCTCGTAATTTCTTATTTATTTGCTGATTGAGTCATAAACATATAAATGCAATTTAACAGCCTCTCTTTTTTACTTTTTAAAACTACACTGTTAAATATGTAAGAAATAGAAATGACTTTTTTTGGTGAAACTTAATGTAGTCAGGTTGATTCAGTCATATAAAATATTATTAACAAATGTCCTCATGACTTATTTTTCCAATTACTTCCACGTGAAGTAAATTTACGTTTCTTTACTGTACCAAAAGTCAATTAATTAAATTAAATATTAATTGTTTCGAAAACCTTAATGTCTCTCTAGAAACTTAAATTGATAAGAAACTAATAGTAGCTAGTATCTTGTTCACAAGAAAACAAAAAAAAACAAAAAAAAACAAATATAAATTACAGTTTGAAAGTTTGGGCTCAGTACCATTATTTAATGTTTTAATTATTTAAGTCTTTATTCACCAAAGCCAAAATACAGTAAAACAGTACTATTGTGAAATATTATTACAATTTAAAACAACTGTTTTCTATTTTCATATATATTTTAAAATGTCATTTATTCCTGTGATGGCAAACTTGCATTTTCAGCATCATTATTCCAGTCTTCAGTGTCACATGATCCGCCAGAGATCGTTTTAATATGCTGATTTACTGCTCAATATACATTTCTTATTATTATCATCAATGTTGAAAACAGTTGCGATGCTTAATATTTTCAGGATTCTTCTATGAATAGAAAGTTCAAAAGAACAGCAATTATTTGAAACACAAATCTTTTGTAACATTATAAATGTCTTTACTGTCATTTTTTTATCGATTGAATGCCTCCTTGCAGATTAAAAGTATTCATTTCTTTTTTTTTAATCGCACTGAGCCCAAACTTTTGAACAGTAGTGCATGTCAGGACTTTCCAACACGCCTAAAAAATTTTTTTTTAAAAAAGTGTTCTCTTCCTCTCATTTTGTCAACTCTCACACACATCACAGTTACATGCACACGTTCTGACATTCACATGCACACAAGGCACACACACACACACACACACACACACACACACACACACACACACACTCAAACATGGAGGTAAGTCTCTTTAGAATCATTTAGGTCAGATATCCGTGTCCCTCGGGCTGCAGGCCAAGCTGCCTTAAAAAATCACATCAAACCGATCCGTCTCATACTGGCAAAGGATTGGGGGATTTAGAGCGTGTAAATCTTAAAATCACATAAACGGCCATTAAGGAATGTGCCAACTGAAAAGGGGCTGAGATCAACACACGCTAAACTGAACGATAACCACTTTTCGAAGTGGTTGAATGATACTAATAACATCTATGTAAAGGGCCATCAACAAGACTTGCTTCACAGAGAACATCTCAGACTTGAGACATTTCCCTCCCCACATGAGAAGAGGACAAAAATAGACCTGGGAAAAACGACAAAGAATTGATGTGTGCTAGGCAAGCTAAACAATATAATGATTAATGAGCATAAATATCTTTATGTTAATGACAAAGACATCTTGTGTGGTAAACACACTTGCCAACGGATTTAACACATTTCCATTAACTATAAACTTGATTTGTTCATTATTTTTGGAGGGCTACACTAGTCAGTCGCCTTCCCAGACGAAAAGACGGAAAAGATATATTGGGAGACAATGCTGGAGGCTGAAATTCCCATGGGTGGGATCAGTTCTGCATTTGGCTCCTTCTACACAGTGTTCCAGTTGGCAATGGAGGTGAAAAACTATCATGAATCAGCACCTAAAGGGAAAATTCTTGAGTAAGAATGGAAATAAACTTACAGATGATGTGATAGTCCTTTCCTTTGAAGAACTCCAAGCCCCACAGGTTGGGGCTGAACTCTTGAAACTTGAAGGTGAACTTCACGTCCTGGTCCGGCTTGTCACAGTTGAGCAGTAACATGTCGCTTTTAGTAACACTACAGGTCTCCAATTGTTCTTTGGGAACAAGATAGACCCGGAAGTATTCAATGTTCATCTGCTCGGTGGAGCCTGCCTTGATTCTTGGACACACAATGTCCATTTTGTCTCCGATCTGAGGGTATAGCACTACACCCCTTCCTGGAACAAACCTGTAGGGAACAAGGGATGTTAAATATCTTATAGTGTTACAGAGATGGGGAAAAAAAACTTAATGATTAGCTTGACTAGAACTTTAAATGTAATGTAAAATATATCATGTTTGGACCTCTAATAAGTTAATCTGTATCAGGGGGTTTCTTCAGGTAATTCAATTAACCAAAGAATCATTGGCTTCAATAATGTTTTTTAAGGGTCAGTTCTCATAGATGGGATAGTTCACCCAAAGCAGTCCAAAAAAACAACAACATTGGCCCAAAAAGGGGTCCAATTGGGTCAGAAACAACATTGGACCCCATTGACTTTCTCTGTATGGTAAAAAAAAAAATAAAAGAACAAAAAAGAGACATTTATAAAGTTACACAAAGAAGCCATGGCTGCCCCCTCCATTCATAGTAAAACAAGCAACTGACTGAAATGGATTGAGACAAGCAATTTCCTTTGGCTAATTTTCAGAGTTCTGTCTTGAAGCAGAACGCAAATGCATATAAAGCATTTGGGACCTTGGCTTACTTACACTTTTTTTTTTACTAATGTCTGCAACTTTGTAGTCTTCCTATACCCCCCCCCCCCCCCCCCCCCCATTACATACTTCTCTATTCTGTAATGCATTTGCACAATTAACAATTGCTCACTCCTGACCGTTTGCTGGCAGTCCTTTATCTGCCCTCAATGTTTATTACAACCTTACTATAGCTCCTATTACAATATTCACTTCTGAAAATTGACCTTTCAATCATTTGCAGATTCTCAGATTAAGTTGATTTCTCATTAAACACACAAATTCCATTGCAAACAGACTTGTGTGCATTGGGTTTATCCCTTTATATTTTAAATCTACCATGACAAAGTTAGACATGGTCTCATTCTCACTAACACCCTAAGGCAGAATAAAAGAGTCACTTTCTAAGACTAGCTTCCATCCTCATAAAGTCATTAAGAAAGGGACCCTCGAGGTTCTGCTGGGGGTCCTGAGAAGACAGGAAGCTTCAGTGCCCCTCCTCCGCCCCCCTGCAGTACCAACTTCTGTGTGGATCTTGCAGAGAACAAACCGGGATGGGGGTTGAACAGTGCCTTCATCCCAGCGCACCTTTTGTCTCCAAAGCTCTGTGACAAAGATGACCCACTGAGCTACTGGAACTCATGAAAACCGATTACAACCTGCAGCAAAGCTCTGCTGCACAACGGCTTAGCATCTTAAAAGAGCGTTATCCTGCATCTAAACAAAACTGATCTATTTGAATACAGGTTCACCACTGTGAAGAAACAGCCACGATGCTACCAAGGCAACCAGTTTCACTCTTGAGCGATCAGATGGTGGAATAAAACACAAGACTTTGAACAAAATGTGAAATCTAAGTGCATGTTTGGTGAAATGTTTGCCCAAATGTCCAAACATGTTTCAGGTAAGTTGACCAATCGACCTCCCAATGGCAGGAAGAGAGTATGTGGCAGCTGAGAAAACACCAGGCTGGGTGTCTCAATCTCAGAAAGTAGTACTTAAATGCATTTCCCTTTCTTTTAACAGTGTACTGAGACTGTTTGTCCTGACGCAGGAAGGTGCGTGGGTAACAGATGCATAATTATCACAAGACTTTGGAGACACACTTCACAGTGGAAAAAAGGAGCTCAGGCAACAGATCTCTCTGTGGCAATCAGCGAGAGGTTGTAATCCACTCTTCAATTTTACATTTCTCAGCTTATAATCAGTCCTAAATTTAGGCTGTGGCTCAGCACTCTTACACGATATTAACCATGATGTAAGGTCTCCACAAGTTTGATTGCTCTAAGTGCAGATTCATTCTGCAGCTTTTCCTCAGCATATACCAGGGTGCATGGAGTTCGCAATACATGTTACAATCTCGCCATATAATTTATATAAACCATTGCATTTACCTGCAATTTTTGACAGGGTGTGCAGGCTAATTGCTTAAATTACATAAATGCATATAAATTAACATTTACAAATAGTGGTAGCGTCTATGATGTGGAAGTTCGTAAAGGATAGCCCAACTGATCTGTTTTTAAAGTTTATGCGGTGATCTCCTTTTAGCCTGCTTCTGCAAATGAATGCACTTGCATCTCAATGTTACTGCCAATAAAGCATCATTGTAACTAATACCCTGCAGTCTGGAAAGGTGGGTGGTCCAACAACAAAATGGCATGGATTACGAATATGTTTAGTGGGCTGTCTTGTGTTTAAATGACTATGACATGGTAATAAAAATCAATGGAGAAATCAACTAATCAAAACTGCAAATGAAAGTGTGATTACAGGTAGACTTTTAAAATGAAAGGTTCTTCAATGGTTCTTTGCTACACCTTCATAACCCTCAACTACCTCTTTTTAGCTGTATATTTTGTATGGACGAAGTAAAAAAAAAAAAAAAAAAAATGCAAATAAGGATTAGGATTAAGACTAAGATAAAAAAAATTAAAAAATAGTTATGTTACATTATAGGTTATTTCCTACCAGTCAGCAATGAGCATATTGATTCTTTAAAGTTCCAGTACATATTTTTGCCTTTGAATTATATGGGCATCTGTGGTTCAGTTCAACTTTCAACTGGTAACTATTCATTGAGTACTAGAACTTATTTCTGGTTAAAGGCTATTCTTGTTGTACTTGTTTATTAGACATTAGCATATGTATTCCATTTTTAGTTGTAAAAACGAGGACTATAATTGTTGCTATATAGCTACGCACTTGATTATAGAAAAAATAGGGGAACATAAAATATACAGTAACTGGACTAGACACTTCTGTCAGAAATGGTAAAGTACATTTGGGAAAATTACTAGTAGCCTAGGCTACAGTTACTCTGAAGGCAAATCATTCGCAATTTGTCCAGTTCCAAATGTTATGTGTCCCTATTGGTACAGTAAAGATATAGTAAAGTACTATCAAATGGAGAATTAGCCTACAAGTGACTGATTTAATAGATTGTTATAGAATTATAATTTATAAACCATTCACAAAGATGTTAATTCACAAAAATAATATAACCACCACCAGTAGCTAAATAGATTGTAGTTTGTGTAGAAGAATAAATGTTAAAGCTGCTTGCCATACAAACGCTTTTTTTGGGTTCTATTTGGAGCCTTTATTTAAGTGTATACTTACTTGGTGTTCGAAGTATTCCAGTATATTGATTCTAAAACTGTTGATCGAGCCAATTTTACTCGACAAGCAACCACGAAAAGACTAAATATATAAGTCCACATAGATGTATCCATTGCGATGCAAAAAGAGTTCAGCAGTCCAAATCTCGTTATAACAAGTGAGAAATCCACAGGCACTAATGTGAGGAGAATCCGATGCTGTTGGGCGCTCTTCTGCTGAAAACGCGTTTTATTTCGAAACGGAAAAAAGAACACAATTCGCTAAGACTCCTTCGCAACTGGCACTCTATAGAACAAATTTAACAAAATAGCCGGACAGCGGAAGAAAATCCATGTAATCGGGTTTTTAGACATGAATATGCATCCTTTGATGACCAGAGATTGACGTTCTTATGAATGTAGAGAAAACAGTAAAATAGTGCCGGTTACGTGGGATATCAGCAGCACAGCTCTAAAATTCTGATGTTACTGAGCTCAACTCTAAAGGCGGCATCAGTGCTTCTCCTGTTCTTCGTCTTTGCATTCAACTCTGCCAGTCTTGGAGTGCCCTCAAGACGTGCTCAGAGACTTCTTAGGACAACCCAGTGTTGCGGTTAGACCCCGCCCACATCACACTCGATTGGATGACGCTAAATGAGTGACACCTAGTCGAATTGAAGGAGAAGTCTGGCAACTGTACGACTGCTATATTAATCATTATGCTACCAACCAGAGCACAAAGTTTTCCTGAGGTGCAAAGCGGTATCAAAATGATCAGAATGCTATTGTTTTCAACACGGAGAGAGGCCGTGACCCACTAGGGGGCCTCAGTGAACTTTAAAAAAAAAAAAGCCATATGTTAAATTAAAAATAATTTAGCAATTCGTCCTATCAACGACTGTATTCTAAGTAAGCAGACTGAGACATTCTTATCCTTAGAGATATTCAAGCATGCTATGTTGTCTTTACAAAGCCATAAGGCAATTGAGCTTTAAGGTAAGTTTTAAGGAAAATAATAATATTGAATTGAAAGATAGAGATACATTTTTTTTTTAAATTGATAAAGAACTGCTGGCATACGTATTTTCATTTCTGAATACAGTGTGTGTGGCCTGGTAAACCTTACATTATGGGTAAATGTCCCAAAGATGGCGATATCTGAAATTGTCCTTGTGGGGACATTTTTTGGCCCTTATGAGGAAAACAGCTGAAATCATAGCCTACTTAGTGATGTTTTTGAAATTGTAAAAAAAAAAAAACATGTTTTTGCAGAAAGTTTTCTGTACGATAGTGTAGCCTACTGTAGGGGGATACTACAGTAACTTTGTACAGTATAAAAACCATCGATCATGTCTACGGAAAGTCCCCATAAAAAAAACAGAACGCGTGTGTGTGTGTTGCCTGTGTGTGTACATATAGGCCTACCTACACACAAACAAGATGCATAATGCACATACACTGAAAATAATAGTGTAGGCCTAAACGCACGAATGTGGCGTCGCGTTCGAAATGGAATGATTAATCTTTTTATTTTAATTTAAATCCCCACGGAAGCTTGTACTAAAGGCATTTCCCACAAACTTAACCCGCTTAGTCTCGTAAACCTCAAAAAGTCTTAAAAATCTGTAAATAGGCCTACAGTGTGAGCAATTTCTTCATCCGTTTACTGTTTAGAAAAAAAGCAGCCTTCCCCAAATTACGCACATTTTATCTTAAACATTAGTATGCCTGAGATAAATCAAAACATTTGTTCGATGGTTCGGGCAACTTTTGTTTATTGTACTTTGCGTGTTTGGACAATAATCAAAAGGAAAATCTAACAGGTAAGAGATAATTGGATGTCGAGCTGTGTTAAGGTGTGATGCGTTTGCACTTCCATCGTCTGGTCTGCGCTCGAGCGTGAATCAATTGTGTATTTGCGCTTTGGGCTTGTGCCGAAATAACAGAGGTGTCAAACAAACTATTAATTAGGCTGCGGATTTGATAGCATTTGGTGATGTGTTGACATCCTGACGTCAGTTTAGTCTTGTTGATCCCATGTCTTCCAGATTCTTTGATATCTCGAATGCTATTTTTTTTCCCTCGATGGTAGGCATTAAGCAATTAAGGGAATATTAAAGGGATAGGTCAACCAAAAATGAAAATTGTGTCATGATTTACTCAATCTATGAATGGATTAGTTTCTTCTGCTGAACACAAAATAGATTGTGAAGAATATGGGTAAGCAAACAGTTCAATGACTTCCATATGTCAATGGGGCAGAACAAATGTTTGGTTACCCATATTCAAAATATCATTCTGTGTGTGTGGTGTGTGTGTGTTCAGCAGGAGAAAGAAACTAATGTTTGGAACAACTTGAGTGAGTGAATGACAGAATATTTTTTTTTGGTTGGCTAACTATCCCTTTAATACTATTTGATTTTAGATACTTGCTATTTTTTATGTATAGTTGTGTTTAATCTAATCCTGATTAACTACACAAGTTAATACAAATATGCAAATAGATATCAGAAACACGACACATTAATGGATTTATTGGAGATTCTTGACATATCCTTGATAACTGGGTCAAATATTTAACCAGACCACAAACACAAATTATGGCCAATCAGCAACCTTTCACTCAATCACCTCTAAAAGCATCTCATCACGAACATATAAGAAGCTCAATGACATGCAACGACCAGGTACCCTTTATTACAGCATCACCTTACCTCTTGAATGTACAATTATGAATGTGCAAGTAAAAATGATAAAAGGAGGTTACTCTTGTTTTATGATGCTTCTTGGTTGGACTGGTTACCATTTAAATCATAGTGGTCTGTGCCATTCAAAATAGAGGGATGGACTTCCAGTTCAAGCTATTTCCCAACCAATCTTTCATTCTAATTACTTTATACTATGAATAAACTATTAAAAAAAATAAAAATACTTCGATCGAATCAGCCAGGAAAATCTGTTGAGGTCTTGAATTAGTGACACCGGAAACCATAACGTGCATTTGGGATAAGAGAGCAGGTCAGGCCGGTCCTTTTTTACCCTAGCCGTGGCAATGCACCAAATGTGTTTGCAGATACTACATGGAGGACAAGTGGAGGTTATCTATACAAGGAGTCAGTAATACAAAACAGACAGGTAAAACGGGGGAGGGAAACCGTAAGGAAATATGACAAACTGATTGTTCCCGTTGTTCTGAGAATTTGAAACACACCACACAAGACCTATGAAGAAGAACTTGTGCTGCAGCACAAACGCCTCACACGGAGAGGTGGTCTGGAGAAAGTCTGGAGGAATCCTGGCCACATTGTTTTCATCACTCAGTGGCCTTGAAAGAGAAAGACAGTTTAGGCCTCGACTTCCCTTTCCCCAAAATGATCTTCTGTTCTTCTTTCTGCTGTTTCTGTCGCTCTTGTTCCAACTTCATACGCTCCTCGTGTATTTTTCTCTGCTCTTCAACTATTCGTAGTTGTTCCTCTGCCTGCAGGACAGAAAAAGGTGTTTATTAGGAGATAAATATTAACAAGTGCAAAATACTGGTATTGATCGTGATATTTAAAACATTTAATATTGAAATCGTGTTAATTAGTGATGATGCAATATACCAGTATTGGCGATAACCATAATATTTCAAATTAATAGTACACATATGATGATATAAATAATCCAGCCCCAGTATCTGTTTGACATCCCACCGTACAGTAGGTGGCGGTATTGCACCTTAACACTGGGTGCCAACTGTCATAAAACACAAGTAGACAGTGTGCTACTTTCATGCAAAAGCATGTCATCAGATATGACAGACACTCTACCTGCACTCCAAAATGACTCCAAAATCACCCCAGTCTGCAGGACTTGCCAAACAACACTGAGCGCACAAGGTGGGCAATACAACCAACCAGTTTGCCCACCTCCGCCTCTGTTATCTTGCAGATTTGGCCACTGTACAGACAGTAAATTGCAATTATTTTGCTAGTCCTGAAATGGGAAATGTTACCTTAACCTGTTAACTGCTGACACCTTTCTGTGTTTTATTAAATTTACATCCCTTGGGGCTTTTAGTCCAAATGTGTGCTTATTCAGATAAAAACGTATGGATTATTGTATGTTTACTTCAAATATCTTTAGAGAGCAGTATTTTTTTTCTATTTTTACCAATTTTTAAGGACGATGTGAGCATTATGGTGCACTAAACTCTTCACATGTAATTTATGTGTCATTCATACTCAATGCTGGAGGTAGCAATCGCACAGAAAGTCCACAAGTGAGACTCATAGGAGTAATACAACCCTAATATGGACAAAGACATCCATATATCACACGCTGTAGCTGAATAAAACGCAGATAGAGACATTATGACAGATTAAACAGAGTTAACACACCATTGCAACAGTATATGGTTTATCTGTGTTCTTCAAGCCATCTCGGGTATTTTCATCAGGATCATGTATATTTAAAATGTAATGCCAATCGACATAGCCTTTATCACTGTAGAATACTATAAAGTTATATAATTTCTGCCTTGTTCTGTGATAAGAAGCAACATCAGTTCACCGAAGGAACTGGGTTGCCATTAAGTGTAATTGTTCCTTTTGTATGCAATGGTTTGATTCTTCAATAAATAAATAAAGATGAATTTGACCAATAGCATTACTTTTTTTCAAGATTTCTATAGATATCGTTATTGTGAATTCATTTGGCCACAATAATAGTGTAGTGAAAAATCTGATATCCTGACAGCCGTAATGCGAATTTAATATTGGCTGACACCAAACCGTCAACAGCATCGCCATATCTTGGAATGGTGTCAGACTATCTTGGTTTATGGTTCATGCAATATACTTTTTGCAGTTATATTTGTTAAAAAAAATAAAGATGTATAAAATACTAAAAACATTCAAGACTACACTATTCATGCATAATGCATTTATAAATACTTGTCCTATGCTTTAATTAAAAGCTTCAAGCAATTGTTCTGTGCTCTGTGACGTTCGATATAATGTACAAAAGTGCTTTACCAAGTCTGTTTAACTTCGAATATTATATAATTTGCAATATGTAGTCGTTTATGACAAACATTTCGTGAAAAATGTTTGAAAGGGACCGCATTTGTCAGTTCACTTCTAAGTGTTGCTCTTAACCTTTATGGCTTGTAACTGACAGGATCCCTTATATAAGCTCTGCTTTGTAACTAAATTGATCTCCCTTTTTCTAAAAGGCTGCTCTGTTAAGAAAGAGAACTCCATAAAACAAAACATGTCAAGTAGTGCTTATGCAACATTAATGTGCCACATGGCCACAGAGCAGGGGACATTCATTCTATATGAGAAGACAGCAAGGCCAATAGAGTGCTAGTTAGAAAGAATTCAAGGTGCTTGACACAAATAACAGTTTATTGAAAATTCTGAACATGACCCAAGTTTGTGCAGCAAGCATAACAAAGGTTTGATTGTTAAAGTGCCCCTACACGCTGATTTCAGATTTTGAAATTGAAAGTGAGGCTCCGGTGGTAAGAACCCCGGAAGTACAGATAAACAACAATGCCTTGGACTACCAACCTGAAGCTGCTGCCGCGATTTACACTATTGGATGTTAATATCCAATATAGGATATGTATATAGTTAGTTTCTGCTTCCTTTTTTACTTTCTGAATTATATATATAAAAAAAATTCACTGTATATAGTCTAAAGTATGAAAGAAATGTATGTACAGGTTTAGAATAACTCATTTCTACATTAAACACAACAATACGCCATCGCATTCGCGACTCTCCTGTGATTAAAGGCGGCACTTCCGGTTTTCTTCCCACCGGAGCCTCGCTTTCGATTTCAAAATAACGGCTGCGTGAAATCAGCGTACTATGGATTTTTTTAAATGACCTTTCATGTAGTGTGTAACACAGCTCTAAGTGAATGAAAACATCCTGCAAAGTTTTAAATCTGAAAGTGCACTGTATAAAGTTATTGTCTTTCAAAAGTAAGGGTGTATTCACACCTGCCTTGTTTGGTTCGATTGAATCGAACTCTAGTTCGTTTCCCCCCTTGGTGCGGACCTTTTGGGCAGGTGTGAATACAGCAATCGAACTCGAGTGCGGACCAAACAACCGAACCGAGACCCAGCTGAAGAGGTGGTCTCGGTACGGTTCCAAACGAACTCTGGTACGGTTCGTTTACGGTGTGAACATGAACCGACCCAATTGCAAGAAAGCACTGCGCCTTTGAGTTAACAGGCTTCCGTAGTCGGAGTTGCATTATGGGAAAGTGATCTGTTGTAGCCTACTACATTACATCTGTTGCGCGTCTTTCTGCGCGTCGTGTGTGCATCATTGGAATGCAATGAATGAATGAGTGTGTCCATCAGGACATTCACATGCAGAGTGTTCTCTTTAGTCTAATCGCGCATTGATGCAAAAAAAAAAAAAGCATTTGCAGTTCATATAATGTAACGATAGTTACAATACAAGGATGATGCTGCGTTAATTTACGTTAAGCCTTTTTTGCACTTCCTGATTTCCCTACTTGAGAATCCTTGTCCAATGAATGGACGACCTTAGCACACCTGTGGTTTTGTTTACAAATTGTGGTTCACTTGCAAAAAGAGCAGTGTGAAAGCGAACCGTACCAAAAAAAAAAAAATACACCCTAAGAGTCGACTCTTGAGTCAATGAAATGAATAGTTTTTCAAACGAGTCCTAAGCCATTTCGTTGTGACGTCAAGACGAAACATAAGCATATTGCCCGCCCACTCATTGCGCGCCCAGACACCAGGGAAAACTTGAACCTCAAACACTGCAGTTGATTCCTGTGGATACGGGATATCATCATGTCGAGAAGACGCTGTGCTCTACAATGTGAAGGTGTTTTTTCACTGCCCAAGGACGAGCATGTGAAGAATCAGTGGTTAAAATTCATCTTTACCATAATATCACAGCAGTATAATCCTAAACTTTTGCTGTGTTCCCTTTATTTTACTGACAACTACTTCTCAAATCTCAGAGTTCAATGCAGAATTCGAAAACCGCTTTCTCTTGAAAGATGGTGTTCAAATACTTAGTTTTGAGTTTTATATTGTGTAGGTCTCCTGCTAACTAGCTAACTCACATTATTACTATCTTACTAAAATACTTCTGCTGATCAGCTGTGGGCCACTATTACCTCAAACTGTCTATTAATGCAGATTATCTGTCGTTCTTCTCACTACTTTGAGGAAAGATTAAGCATGGAGCAATATTTGTTTTACCAACGTTTGTGTTACATCAGTCATTCACGCTAGAGCTCGGCTAATGTATACACTCTTATTGATACAGTTTCCACGAGTTCATCGCAATAAATTAGAAAAATACTCGGTAAATAAATAAGTACAAGTAAAATAATCGGTTTGTTGATGGAGATGCACTTGTTAATGCTGATGCTGAGGAATTACAGTTGCAACATCTCACAATGTACCTCAAACTGAGTAGTGTATCACTAAGAAATGTCCTGCTCGAGTCGTCCTTGCGATGGAGGTTCGGGTTGAATAAGTTCTTCCAGTGTTTCATCATCGGACTCGCGCTCGGATTGATATGGTAAAATCGACGTCATCGTTCGCTACTGTGTTTAGTTTACGGTGTAGGAAGCGTCAGGACAGTTGATGTTGTTATGGCAATGGCGTTTTTGTTTTCGACACGCGCGCTGTATACGGTAGACCAATCACACCAGACACAGCTGTCTGGCCAATCAGAGCAGAGTAGCTTGTGGAAAGGAGGGATTTAGAGAGATTGATTCATCTGATGAGTCGTTTAAGAATCATTGAAACATGATGTGCACATGGATATGAGAAAATGAAACCGTTTTTTGACCTTTGATGCATGTAAACCTGTTGTAGGAGACTCCAAAACAACATTAGGAAAGTTTAAAATAGCAAAATAGGGTCACTTTAAAATCAAACTAAATGGCTCCTCTGCCCTTAATTTCGCATACACTACTTCTCAAAAGTTTGGGATCGGTAAGATTGTTTTTAAATTAAGTCTCTTATTCTCACCAAGGCTGCATTTATTTGATAAAAAATGCAGTGAAAACAGTAATACTGTGGGATATTATTACAAGGTAAAATAAAATCTATTTATGTGATGGAAAAGCTGAATTTTCAGCAGTATCACTAGTCTTCAGTGTCACATGATCCTTCAGAAATCATTCTAATATGCTGATTTGGTGTGATGTTTTTTTCCCAAATTATTTGATGAACAGAAGTTTAAAAGAGCAGCCTTTATTTAAATTATAATGTTTTGCAATACTTTGTTTAAACCATTGTTTAAACTATGCAATTCAACTTTTTTATGAAATGAAACATGACAAAACCACACGTACCAGTTTAGCTTGAGCATCTGCTATCTTGCGATTGTTCTCCACCAGAATTTTCTCCAGTTCTTCACGCTTTGACTTCTCTTCCTCCTGCAAAGTCAAACCGCTTTAATGTGAGTTGCAGTGGCAGAAATCATAAATATTCCCAAAAAATAAGTGGCAAAACTTGAGTAAACATAAATTTGTAGATAATAAAGATACATTCAGCTCACCAGACATGGATAAACCTACAGTAAACTTGTCCTTCACTCACGAATAAAGTTCCTAGAGGAGTCAGGGTCATATTGGGAATACGTTTTTTTTTTTTTTTGGATAGATTTACCACCAATCAGCAAGGGAGGTTCTTTCAAACCACTGACCTGTGTTCTTGGAACTTCTCTACTTACATCTCACTCTCAGAAAAAAGGCCACACAGTGAAGTGCCGTCTGAGGAGCAGTCAGCTTTAATGATGTATAGGACCAACAGAAGCGTGAATAACTTTCATCACTTCTATTCATAAACAACTGAGAGGAGAGGGATAGTGAAGTTCAGGCGAATACCGAAGCTCATGGAACTCGCAGGAGTTGTGCATGAGCTGTTTTGTTCAAGAAAACTGTGAAACATGAAATTTAAAGATAATAAAATGGTAGAACTGTCATACTCAGTACTACTATGATGTGCGTAAGATTAGAGCTACAATTCGAGAAAAGTAAAATCATTTTCACTTAATTTTGAGAGGAATTAGGCTAAAGGCCCTGACATACTTTAAGCGAAATCGAAGAACAAACTGATCGTAATTTCTAACAAAATCAGGTAAAACGTAGTTCGTTTGGAGTTTTGAACTTTCACTCCAGCTGGTAAAAGCCTTGAAACTACAATTGGCCCATGGAAATGATGTAATAGGTAGGTGTAATCTGAGGCTCCGCTTTCTTTTATGTGGAAAATTGAAGTCAGATGTCTGCAAATAAAAACATTAAAACATTGGAGAGCTGCTTTAGAGAAGAAACTGAAGTTGTACTTCTAATTGAAAGCGACACCGACACAGTTTTTTCATGTTTGATACTGTAAAGCTGCTTGCTTTAAAGAAATCTATTGAATAAAGTGATAGATAGATAAACGTGACGTGACTTTACTGGAGTCCCGAATTGCAGAGCTGGTGCATACATATCCAGGGGTGCGTTTCCCGTACAACGACGTAACTCGATGCTTCACTACCATAGCCCGATGACTGTTTCCCGACTGGTCGTTCAACCATGTTAGTTTATGACGTCACGCACGTGGTGGGGTAATAACTTATTTTAATGAAACTGTTTGAGATCGAATTAATGCTAGATGTTTTGATATAAATTACAGACATGGCATCTGAGGAATATTTCAAATTTTTCTCAGTTATTTCGCATAGTAGAGCACGTTCACACCATAGACTGTAAAAAATATGGACAAAGCTTCTTTGACGTCACCCATAGACTTTCTGAAGAACGGTTTTGAGGCCGTTTATGGAGGGTATGGGCGACTCTGACGTGCGACCAACTAGCTCGCAGATCAGTCTATTCTTATGTGACATTTATTCATTTGGCAGACGCATTTACAGTGTTTCAAACGTCAGTTATAACCATAGGTAAAGTACCTCGGACGCTAACTTATCTGAGGCGATTTAATGCTAACTGTTGCAGTGCCACTGCCCACAAACATTGATGCTAAATAGTGCTAACTACGTGAAATAGTAGTGGAATGTCACTTACCGGGAAAAAAGGAGCGAAGTACTCCTAGTCCTACAGTGTCGGTTAGTGCAGTTTATAGCAGAGCAACCCATGTTATGTACGATATATCAGTACAAATGTTCAGAAAGGATACAGAGGTGGTATGATGTGTTGTGTCAGATCATAGCCGAGACGTCAAATTTCAGGAATTCCACTCTCGACGCAGCCCGTTATCAGCTGTCAATCAAAGTTAACCACGCCCTTATTTGTCATACATTTTATATCTAAATACGATCTAGACTAACGAGTTAGAAAAAAAATCACCCCCCTCACAGTTGTGTCAAGCACTCGGAACCTATCGAAAAATACAATAAAAGTCCATGGGACCAACCTGTAAAAACATGAATTTATGCTGTGAAAACGGACATTTTATGGGGGTCTATGGATATTTGCTCCCTTTTGGGACCTCCCTCTAGCGGATTTTCGATGTATTGCAGTTTTTCGCACTTCCGGGTAGGCTTCATGTTTCAGATTAGAATGTTGCCGCTTGGTACGCACATGCGCAGTCTTCAAAAACGGTGCTCATTTGACAAACACAAAGACGTAAATGACATGTGTATGTATTCTAAATAAAAGAAACAGGTTGTACTGAATGTCAGCTTGCTTATTTTGCTCAAGATAAGGATTTATTAAGTCCACATGTCATGCAATCTAGAAACTCTGCTTCTAACCACATCTCGAGAGCTGTCGTTCCAAACACACAACTTTGCGATGCTGTTTGCGAATGTTCGCTGGAACGATGGTTTCGGGAAACATCGACTCGTTGAACTATGCTGATAACGACTGAACTTGCGACAATAGTTGGCTACCGATGCTTTCGCGAAACGCACCCCTGGTCGCTAAGATCACATGTTTTCTTAACTGTAGCTGTTCTCTCACAGCTTTCATTTTTGTTGTGCCTTTATTTTGTTATTGTATGGAAAGTGCGCAGCATATATTTACATATTCATCTAATCGTCGCTCTCAGCAGTGTGGGCGCCGTCGGGATGTTCGCTAACACTGCAACGGTATTTCAAACTTCTTTTTACCCCTAAACGGAGAATGAAAGAGAACTTCGCTGTGAGTATATCAGAGCCTTAAGGCCTGTTTTACACCACACACTCATACAGTGTGCAAAGAAAGCAACATCAGGCTTTACACAGGTCGCTTATCCACAAATAAACTGGAGATCCAAACAGAAAATACGTGATTTCTGAGTTACTCTATCGAATATTTCCTATTGCACAGTTAATATGAATGCATAAATATTTGTTGCTTTCATGTGTGTGTGTGTGTGTGGTGTGAAACAGATCTAATTCCAACAAAACTACAGGAACCTACCCATTTAACCAGCATTCGTAAGCACATACATTCTGTGCTGCCAGTTCACATGCAAGTTACCTCCCGAGCTTTCTGAGCGGCCAGCTCCGCATGTCTCTGTTTCTCCAGCTCCTCCAGCAACTGCTTCTCCATGATGCGTTTAGCCTCCTCCACCCGTCGCAGCACTTCTCTTTCAATCTCATCCTTTCGCTTTTCTAGTTCCTCCTCCACGCGTTTGGCCACAAGTTCCTCTACGCGCCGCGCCGTCTCCTCCTCAATCAGCCGCTCCTCGATCTCCTGCTGTCGACTAGGGAAGAAGAGATTACAGTCAGTAAGGAATACAAAATGAAAATGTACTTAGTGCTAATTATGAAATGAAGCAGGACAGGTAAACATAAACAACATGAAATGCAATGCACGTGCTAGCTGCCATTGTGCATGGAAAATCAACAACTTCAAAGTGTCAGCTTTACAGCAGTGGTCCACTTCAATAGGCTTTTTAAAGGTCCAAAATTGAAACTGCTATCAATGTTGAATGGTAATTTAATGATTGAGGAAACATTTCTTTGAGTATAATAATTATGCATCTCATTTATACCTTAATATCTAGGGTTATTACTGCTTATTGGTTTTATGACAGTAATAATGAAGATTATATTGTTGTCTAACACTTCCCTAGAGGACACAAAATCAAAGTTCAAATTCACACAATAGGCTAGGCATAAAAAAAAAAAAAAAGTTTGGTTCTGGTTTGTTGTCAGTTGAGGTCATGGGTCGGTAGGGATTTTTTTTTTTTTTTTTTTTTTTTTTTTAGTGGCAGCAGCAAGGGATAGGTAGGGAAATTATTCAGGGCTCGACCTTAAGCCTTTTCATATGCTTGCCCTCCAAACAAGTAAATCTGTCATTCACTTGTCAGAGTAAAAAAGTTGCTTGTCCGGATTTTTTAAATTTTTTAAATGTATTTATTCTGAAGCAATGTTCTCATCAGTGTTCAATCAGCTTTGATATTTAAATTGGCATATTGTAATATCTGCACCTTTGAAGGGCATCCCCTCCCCCAATCTTATTAAATGCCCTATAGTGTCGTCTTATTCTAAATAATTGAATTTATTGATCAAATTTAGGAATTTAAAATGAAAGATCAAGCATACTGTTACCCTAGATAGGGCTGATCAAATTAAATAATTTACACTGAAAAATTACAATTGCATAAAATAATGTTATGAAATTGATTTAAATGTACAAATAAGAAACATCGGAAAGAAGTATACTAGGCTACTTATAAACATAACACTAAACTGCCAATAGGTGGCGGCAGGCGGCCGTATTAATGAGTGAGTCATTGATTCATTAATTCAAACGATTCGTTTAAACGGTTGATTCATTCAAGAATGAGACAGATGAAATGAATGGGTCATTGAATCTTTGACTCAACCGATTCGGTCAAAATGCTGAATCATTCAGTAATGAAAACAGGTTGAGTGTTCCTGTGCCGTGGTTCTGCTGTGATTTTTGTTTGGAACTATTTTCGCTGCAGCAACAGAACAAAAACAGCCAATATTGCATCTAAAATGTAAGTGACTTGATTTTAACTGTTTATTGAACTGTTGTAGGAAATCAATGTCACATTTTCAATCGTGATATGGTATTCAGGAAAAATAATTGAGGCTGCTTAACACATATGTTAAAATATAGAAACTCCACATTTAGATTTTTTAGAGGCAGTATGTTGTTAACCTGTGTGTGTGCTGCGCTCATGTGTGTAGATTTCTCCTCGAGAGGCTGCGCGAGCGTCAACAGCGCACCTCACCGTCAGCAGGCTAATACATTTATTATCCACAATCGATCGCAACTTACAATAAATGTAATAAAATCAGAATCATTCTCTCGGTTTAGTGATTCCCTAGTTATTTTTTTGTTTGTTATTGATGTTCTAATCAGGCTACTTGTCCGTTCGGGCAAGTAAAATTCTCTTTTACTTGTCCTTCAAAAATCCATTTGTCCCGGACAAGTTAGACGGGCTCTGGAGATACGAAGCGCGGCAGGTTAGAGCGTTTTGGATTGCATAAAATAATAAAAGAAACGAACAAATACATGGCGAAATAAGTGGTAGACAGCAGAAGAGGGTATTGGGATTTGGGATGATTTTTAATGAAACTTGGGAGGCGGATGGAGGTTACTCTGTAATGTGGTGTGTGCGTGCCTATGAATGCATGCATTTGATTTGTATGTGTGCGTATATGAATAAAAGTGTCCTTAATGACAAAAAAAATACTTGTATATGTATTATAGTTCAGTTTGACGAACGATGTGTGAACGACCATGTAGCTGCCTCGTTTGTTTTGCTGGAGGACAGGCATCTTGCATCGCGTGCTGTACAAAAACGTAAATTATAGTTCGCCTCAGTTTTTTATTTGTGTATTTAGGCTATTTAATTTTTATTATTTCTTCCCCAAGCTCATAAAATAAATTTGGGTCGCACATAAATTGACAGGGTCGGTCGGAAACCGGAACCAAACAAATTTTTTTTTTAAGCCCTATGTATTTATGCATGTATTAAATGACATGACATGCATATTATTGTGTCCAAGGGCAGTTTTCCTTTTAAAATAATTAGATAAATTCATGACATATCACTTTATTCTATCAAACCTATTTAGTTTGAATTAATTTTTTCATTTAAATAATGCTTATTTTATCATCTTAAACTCCCAAAATGTCTGAACAACAGTCTGAACAAATGAACAGACTAAGAAATCAATTTAAAATGGTGTCTTAATAATAACAAAATGAAAAACTAAATAATATGGCATCATTTTAGGTTTGTAACCTTTCCTATAAACAAATTTTATAAATATTGGTAGTTGTAAAGTTGTTCTCTGTGTGAAAACAAAATCAAGTTTTCAGAGTTTTAGTGTCAGTACTACATTAAACTAATATATATATATATATATATATATATATATATACATATATATATTGTTGAATATAATGCAATGGGGAAATATTTGTGGGTCCTGATAATGCCAAATGTCTGATGTTACCAGTAAAAAGTGGCCTACATTATTTTAAATATATCTAGTCAGTAATGGTGCAAGCCTGTTCATCTAAAATAATTCTGTATTTTCAGCTTCAGAATCATGAATATTTTTATTCTGGTGTCACCATTGTCCTGTGCATTAGGTTATCAGTAACAAGTCCAAGCCTATTCATTTCCACACCCACAATGTAATATTAAATTTAACCTTTTATCATATGTCTTGGAGTATCGCAATAATATTGTATTATGAGTTCAGAATCGTGATATGTAGCGAATCTTGACATGAGGGTATCGTTACACCCCAATTGATCCTTGTGGAAGAGTGAAAAGGTTTGTAGTTCTCTCTCAAATACTGGTAAAAAATGCTCATTTCAAGTATGGGTAGGTTGGAACACTTTCTATGTCAGGACTTTACAACTATTTGGTTGTACCGCCTGAAATTAAAACAGTAAAAAAAATGTATTCAAACACTTTGAAATGTTATCTATCAACTGAACACAATGTTTAAACACATTGTTCATGACTCAAAAAAATGCATTACATCAGTTTTGAAAATATATATTTTTTTAAACACCTTTTTTGAAGCTTTATTTGTCAATGTCAGATTCATTTAAATAACCAGCCTGGCTGATTGATGGGTGTATACTTGCATATTAGGGGAAAAAATAAGATTTTGAGAATCCAGTCACTCCACAACCCCAAAATACAATGTATTAAGGTTGTATTTTGAACATGGTTCAATGATAGTATGTCATCGTTTTTACATGCACCTCAGCTTTACCATGACATGCTTTGCAAAAGCAAGGTGTTCTAAAAGTAAATATAATTGAGATAATGTAATATGTATGGCAGTATCTTGATACAGTGGTAACTTAGTATCTGATACTTTTAAATGTGGCCTGAAAACGCACATGAAAATACTACAACGTAAACACTATTGTACTGAAATTGGTGTATGTGCATGGTACTCCCAGAATACGATGATACGTGTACAAAAAAAACACGGTAGCTTTCTTTGCTTTATGGTACCTCCACAGTACTTTTGTATCTTCGTGTGGCTCACATTATTCAGGTGATGTCTACTCTACAGCATGACTGTCATGACGGGTTTCGTTTTGGAAAGTGTGGGTAACGTTACTCACATTCTCCTCTGTCTTTCCATTTCGACTCTCTTCTCTTCTTCCTCTTTCTTCTGCTTTTCGTCTACAGCACTCCTCTTACTTATCGCCCTGCCGAAAATATCGATTCTCTCCGGCGGCGTGGCGGCTCTCTCCCTTTCCCGGCGAGCCGCGGCCGTGTTTGATTTGGAACGAGAGCGCGACTCTCTCTTCCGACTCCTTTTGGACTCTCGGGACTTCGAGCGCCTCTTCCTCTCTTTATCCCGGGACCTTGATCGAGAGCGGCTTCGCTTTTTACTGTGCTTACTGTTTTTGGAGTGCTTGGAGCGGGAAGAGCTGCGGCTCCGCGAACGACCCATTTCAAACGCCGTTAGAGTTCAGTAGCAGTAACCAGAACACTGAACACCTCTAAAGCATCGGACAGGAGTACAAGCTCCTGGTCGTCTTTCAAACAAGCCCCAAATTACACACTTAAGGAATCAGTCCCGACTGCATGACAATAATCTTGAAGACGAAACTCTTATTTGGAAATAAATTGTTTAATAAGAACGTGATTGCTTAACTGCATGGCACCATTTATCTTGTATGGTTAAAAAGCAAGATGGAGGATGGCTGTTCTCAGATCCCAGAATGCAATTTCTTATTTTTTTTTTTTTCCTACGTTGTGACGATCGGCAGTTGGTTACACCGATTACTGCCATCAACTGGCGTGGAGCGTAAACGAGAAGCCCGTTTAATTTTAGAGAATCATTTGGACGGTTCGTTCAATGAACCGATTCACCACCGAGTCATGACTCCCGGCTATTTTTTTTGTTGTAAAGTTGATAGATAGATAGATAGATAGATAGATAGATAGATAGATAGATAGATAGATAGATAGATAGATAGATAGATAGATAGATAGATAGATAGATAGATAGATAGATAGATAGATAGATAGATAGACAGATAGATAGACAGATAGACAGACAGACAGACAGACAGACAGACAGACAGACAGACAGACAGATAGATAGATAGATAGATAGATAGATAGATAGATAGATAGATAGACAGACAGACAGACAGACACATTGATACATAGATAGATAGATAGATAGATTTTTTTGAACTTGTAACATTATAACTATAATTATAATAAATAAAATAAATAAATAAAAAACTTAAATCTGGCTGCCTAAAAAACTGGCTGTGTTTTTAGGTGCAGTAGTGACTAGTGGATGTTTATTCCTACATCAACCATATCCAGCAGGTTGATTATAAGCCACCATAATTATATTAGCCTATGTGTTCTAAAATGTTTCACATGTTACAGCCATTATAATAATATTAGGATAAGACTATAGGCTTTGTTTTTATTGATAAGAAACCTAGCCTGCATAATCTTGATGCAATCTGATATATATATCATCAATTATGAATGAAAACAGCAGAATATTTAATTAATCTCAAATGCCAAAATGAAAAGGCATGTAACAGCATGCAGATGGAGAATTGTAAGATAACCTTTAATCATACACATTAAGAAAATAATAGAAGGCATTATTATTATTATTATTATTATATTAATACTACCAATACCTGGGTTTAGTTGTTCACTTCGATTAGTGCTTTGCTTGCTTTTCAAATTACATTTTTTAAAAAGACAGATTTTCATGTCTAATATGACAATCAAATTAGGTTCTCCATTCAAGAATATTGATATTAATTGCATTTGGGAAGTTTACATGCATGAGGTGCTAACTCCAACTAAATCCATGTCGAAATGCATTTTCCAAATCATAAATGCAGGCTTTTTGAGATCAAATTAATGAATAAAATAAAAAGCATACCAATATTTCTTCTTAAAGTGTGTCCCCGGCTTTAGAGATTTCTAAAACTATTGAAGGGAATTGTGTTAAAACTTGAATCATCATTTTAATTATTAATTTATTTCCCTTCTTGCATGCACTTTTCCTTAGGCTGCCTATCATTGTTTAACGTTGACAAAGCTTGATGTTTGTAAAAGACTCTCTTGGACTTACACATTAGCTATCTTCATATCACCTTTATAAAGATCAGTCATTATAAACCGATTTAATTGATTCTTTTAACATTAAAGGATTTTTCATATGATATCTTCCCCAACATGAGCTTGGTCTTTGTCAAAAACATAGCTAAAACAACACTACCCTGACACCTGCTGGTCAAATAAAGCTAGTGCAAGATGAGACTTAACTCCTCCCAAACGCTACTACGTCAGTAATCAAGTAGCCTATGAGATACATGGAGCAAAACCAAATGTTGTGTAAATACTCCAAGGTGGTAGGCTATATGTTCATTTAAGAGAGTATGTCGAAAAGGAAACTGTTTTATATTTATATAAAAATGTGTTTTACATAATTTGTCAATATATATTTTATTTAACATGATGTTGAGTAAAGCTACACACGCATAGCCAGGCTATATTAATTCATATTAATTTCCCTTAGTTGCGGTTTCTTTTATGTTGGTATGGAATGTGTGTACAATAAATATTTATTTACTTCATTTTATATCAAGCAGGGCTTAGGACTGGCACACTCTTCATGTGGACGTCACTCCTTTGACCACAAGATGGCAGCCAAGTTTCGCCAAATGCCAATGTTGAAGGACGATATCACGCTTCTCGGACATGAAGGTTCGGAAATTGAGAACTTCTGTTTGTTTTGCTTTTTGTGTCGTGTCAACCATCTTCTCTCAGCCCGATACATTTGTCGCAGTGAACCGTTTATAGCTAGGCTATTCCTCGTAAACCGTTTTCGACCGAAATCTCTCGACTTAAAAAGGCTCACTCTTTAATTAATGCTATTATATAACGTTAGGCTATGGGCTAGGCTACATGTTATTAAAAATAGATAAATAAATGACTAAGCATCCCAAATAACTTGTTGCTGTTCTTTGGCCGTTGTTTTATTCGTTTATAAGTGCTACTTACTGACCAAGTCTTCAATATCCTCGTGCCTTGATCATGTCTATTATTTCCCCCTTCTTCAACAGATCCCCCCACCCTACCGTTTATCCCAAAATAACTAGGTTACTAGATGGAGTCCAGGTACATTTTTGTTGTTGCTATAAAGTAAGTTGACAAGAGTGATGTAGAAGTAATGCATTCGCTGTGAAGCTTACACTGGCGACGTAGGCCTATCTGAGAGAAAAAGGTTTTCACGTTAAGTGATCTAATTTTTAGCAGTAAAAAGAAGGTGTTTTAAAGTTGTTGTTTTTGTTGTTATCATCACCATCATCATCATCATCATCATCATCATCATCATCATCATCATCATCATCACAGTTATGTATGATATGTGAATAGTAAGGGGGCCTGTAGTCAGGGAGTATAGGCCTACATGTTATTTAAGAAAAATGTAATTATATTTTGAGAATGACAATTATTTTTCTAACATGATATAACGTTAGTCTGTGGGGTAAAACGCCCCCAGGGGGCATCACTATCATAACCTACTGTAGTTAGTTACCATATTCTGAACAACACATCCTTATTGTTTTACCATCAAATGTAATCTAATTAGGTGCTTGAATAAAAATATTTGGAATTATAAAAAATATTTTACCTCAAGTTAGCATTAGCTAGCTAGTTAGCCAATTAGAATCAGCTATCAACATGTTTTTTTCAAATAGGCTGAATTTCAGCATGGTTACTTTCATAAATATTCATATTTATCTAACTTGCTGTTATTTTGGCTTGTCTTTTTCATTTTAAGCTAAAGCTCTGTGTACTCTGATTTTGCTGTAAATGTAGCCTATAATCAAATTGCTTTGTCAGAGTGGGGGCATTTTACCCCACCTGTAGGGCTAAACGCCCCCTTGGTACAATTTTTTTTAGTTTTCTAATAACATGAAAACTCTGGACATTTTTCATACTTGGTTTATAATTTATGTCATTGTCCCTGAAAACTAGGATAACTATTCTATCTTGACACATTTAACTTTTGTTTAAAATAAAAAAATTGCACTGTAAGGACTGTACTCTACCCTACACAGAACATCCATTGGGAGGCGTTCACGTATAATTGCAAAATATATAAAAAGAACGACACCTTTCGGCTCACATGCAGCTGGCCCGTTGTTCAATGAATTAGCTCTGTTTTTATACATAGGCCTACACAGTAAACTATAGGCCTAGATTAAAATTAAATTATTAGCATGTGAAATTGCACACACACACAAAAAAAGGAATGGAATCATAAGGACAACAACCATCATTTAACTCTGGCTTTTAGACAATAGAATAGGCTTCGTCCCTTTTATGCAGATCGCTTGTGATTAAGTCATGCCAATCTAATATTTAAATTAGTCTAGAATAATTAAAGTAATAAAGGTATTTCCACCTACACCATATGGCAACGTCATGTAAACCCCGTATGCAGCATTAATAATAGCGGCAGATTTGCTGACGTGAGCTAAAAATAATGCCGCTTAAATTTAATTCGTTTTAGCTATTGTAAACCGGTGCGTAAACTGCACTTCTTGAAACTTTGCCTTTTATTTTTATGACAAAGTAAAGCTCAAGCAACCTGTTTTGCAAAACTGAAGTTAAACAATGAAAATAACTGAATGTCCGATATACAGTAAAATCTTTGCAAATGTTAGACTAATGCATTGAAGCAGAACGAATAACAAAAGAAGATGAAGCACCATCTTTCTTCAAGAAACTCTCACCTTGTATTTGAACGTCGTATCGTGATCAAACATCTAACAGGAAGATTTAGACATTTGCTCCCCAGCCTTTTTAGGAGGAAATTAACTAAAAGTTGTTTTATCTTTATCATTATTAATATTTTTTTTTGTCTTTTTCTTTGATTTGAAGTGAAAAACCGAGAGCTTCTGCTCACATTTGCTTTGCGGGAAAACATGTCCTAAAACATCCCTTTTAGTGAAAGTGTTCACTTGAAACAGTGAATGCGACTGGCAGCGTTTCACATTGATTTATTTTGCTCGACAAGGTCTAGTTATTCTTGTAGGCAGCGGTGGATTTTTCATAGTTTAATCAAGGCAATTATGCTGTTAGCTAATTGGCTGAAACAATTCTGAAAAGCACAACTAAAGCAATCCATAAAACACACCTGGGATGAAAATGGGTTCATTTCAAAATTGGTTTCGTCAATGGAAAATTCATTGACGATTTGTGCACCTGTAATGTAATTTCGTTGCGCTTTCAGATGCGTGTGGATAAGTTTTTATATGGAATATGATTTTTGTTAACCCAATATCCTATTGTGTTGTTGTCAGGTTCTCGCTATGAGCGCCTATATTTTATGTAGCCTAGAGTAATTAAATATCCCGTGAGCTATCATTGCAACAGAGCTATTCAAGACCGGACAATATTTCAACCTGTCCATAATGAAATTAAAATAGTTACAACTTCGATTTTTACATGATTTTCGAGACATTTAGAGAAGGGCGTGTGTATTATATTCAATAATACGAGGTGCGGCCCGTTGCCACATTCATCATCCCATTACTGTACCCAATCCAGGTCCGATTCGTGAAGGGTAAAATGAATTACCGACGTTAAGTCGTCAATAAAGTCATTTCAGTAAATGGTGTCTCAGATGACTCCGGCATTATTCAACGGGCTTTATCAGCACTGGG